TGTGGAGCCCATTTCTGGTGTCCCCCGCCGTGATATTGCTGGAATATTGCTTAAAGCGGCGTGAATCCCAACTCACTCACTCACCTATTGAATAGAGGTGTGTCTTACATTCGAAGTCCCACGCATTCGTTGATGGGGTGAATATTGCATTTTATGCTGGGACCACTGAAATCACGCTCTACTCATACAGACGGACTCTTGGTTGTACATGCGCTGCGTCACCTTTACTACCTGTTGAGTCTGCATGCATCTTTTATTACTGCTTGTCTGACCATAAAAAGCTGAAATACAGAAACGTCCAATTTAGCACTCACTCATTCGTGATGATTGTTTGTTATCGAGGACTGCATCGTTTGCAAAAGAGCTGCGAATATGATTACTACTTGATAGTAATTACAATTGATTCTCGATCACAACACATTTTACACATTCACTACACACAATGATGACGTCACTCCGGCATGATTGATCGGTAACGTCCATGTAATAACAACATTTTCTTCTCGTAACATCTTACGTGCTTATCAGCATCGCACGATGACGTCACCCGGTCACAATTGATCCGTAGAGTCCGTACGTCTCATTAGGTCCTATTATAAGGGTAATGCTATTTTTGAGGGCATTATCATTTGCAGAAGCCCGAGGTCTTCCATTAACTGCCCGACGAAGGAGGGCAGTTGAAAAAGACCTCGGGCTTCTGCAAATGATAATGCCCTCAAAAATAGCATTACCGTTATTATTGCTAAAATACATGGAATTTGTGTTGAAAAGAAAAAGGAAACAATGAAGGAATTTGACTTTAAGTTTACCCAAATCAACTTCTGACGGGGTTGACTGCCCGAATGCAATTACGTCATCGAACAATGCAAGTGACGTCACAGCAGAAAGTGACGATATTCGACCTTGGCCTTTGACAAGACCATAGCCTGCAACATGTCAAACTATGTCGGTGTTCGGTTTCGGTCCATCAACAGTCTTAATAGTGCAATTGTTAAGGTTAGCACCAACAAGAAAGCCAATATTACCGCTATTTAAAGCGGGAATTCTGGTTGCTTTGACTTGTTTGACCCAGAATATCTGCCAGTCGAAAGCCAATAATGTCGAATGAACCGTAAGCCCACGCACCCACTATGACGTCACTTGACAACAGAACTGATAGTTGCCCGTCGTGAAGGTTGAGCGGTCCAATATCATTTGCAGCGGCCCGCAAATTTCTGATAATGGGAGGGCCGTTTCATGATAATTCCATGTATTTTAGCTATAAATTCTTGTTAACACTTCAACAGGCCATCATTATAAGTGCAACAGTACAATTAGAATGTCATATTTGAAGGTATTTCTCTTTTTTCTTATTATTATCATTGTGGCTGATGCCTGGATTGTTGTACAGTTTCTTTCGGAATGAAGATTTATGACAATATCGATAGCATCCCTATACTAATCCAATACCAAATGGTCCCTAGTGTGGTGACCTAACATGGCTGCTGGTGATCTGTTATCTATGGAATCCTAGAAGGGACATTGTCGCTATGTCGCATTGTCGCGTTGTCAAAAACAAGTAAAGTGAGGCAAAATAAACCAAAACGCGACACGCGACATCGCGACATTTCGCCCATTTGTCGCATTGTCGCGTTGTCGCATTGTCGCGTGTCGCGTTTTAGTAATTTTTTAGGCTGTTTTTACACATCTTACATAGGGCGACGCGCGACAACGTGACATATTTTGACCTTGAAAATTGTCGCTATGTCACGTGTCGCCCTTTGGAGGAATGAAAAATATATTATTCAAAACGCGACACGCGACATCGCGACAATGCGACAAATGGGCGAAATGTCGCGTTGTCGCGATGTCGCGTGTCGCGTTTTGTTTAATTTTGCTTGTATTTGAGAGGGCGACAACGCGACAATGCGACAACGCGCATGTCCCTTCCAGGATTCCATAGTTATCCATCTTTATAATGTATTACTATGAATTAGTGAGTGAGTTTTAGTTTTACGCCGCTTTTACAAATATTCCAGCATTATCACGGCGGGGGACACTAGAAACAGGCTTCACGCATTGCACCCATGTGGGGAATCGAACCCGGGTCTTCACACATTGTAACCAGGTGAAGAATCGAGCCCGGGTCTTCGGCGTGACGAGCGAACGCTTTAACCACTAGGCTACCCTCCGCCCCTATCATTACTATGTATAGTCAAATTTCAATGTTTACATAACAGTTATAAATGTATATCTTTGATATTCTAGTTATTGTACTGTCCTTTGGCGCCAGATTAATAATCTAAAAATGTACTATCAATATATAACATTTTTAAAGTTACAATATGGCTGAAATTCTGCAAATGTGATTATACATATTAACTCACTCAAAATGGACCCGTTGGAGGTGGTACCAAGCGTACCTGTGAAAGTCCGGGTTAGAATTGATCTTCAGTAACCCATGTCGGGGCACGATGACCTTATAAACCTTTTCACCGAGCCTGACTACGATCCGTTACGTGGCCTGGCCTGGTACAAGCATCAATTGCTAGGTACCAGTGAGTGAGTTTAGTTTTACGCCGCACTCAGCAGTATTCCAGCTATATGGCGGCGTTCTGTAAATAATGGAGTCTGGACAACCCGGCAGTGATCAACAGCATGAGCATCGATCTACGCATTTGGGAACCGATGACATGTGTCAACCAAGTCAGCGAGACTGACCACCCGATCCCGTTAGTCGCCTCTTACGACAAGCATGGGTTACTCTACTGAAGATCAATTCTAACCCGAACCTTCACGGGTGCGTGTCAGTATGAATTTGGAGGAAAGCCCGGATGTATATCTTAGGCGTTACCATTTATAGCGGAACTCACTTGCACGGGGGTGCTACAGACAAACCTATAAACAGAAACCTGGCAACAGGGATTCGAAACCATAATCACAGATTCCTATCCCAATGGACGCAGCTCTGCACAACCAACCAATTTATACGACTTGGCCACCATTGCTCCTCGGTGCTAGGCCAAGCGTAGGCTCAGTCTAAGTAAACTTAGGCTCAGTATTATTCGTTACACTGCTATACTGAGTCTAACAAAACCTAGTAGAAGGTCGCGTTAGATAACCTTTTCAACTGACCAATCAGAACACAGCTTACCAAATCGCGAAAGTTGACATTCGCACATACCTTTTGAACTTTGACCTCGAAAAAAGTTTGTACCCGAACGATTCCGAATGCTATTTTCCGTACGATCGCTTCTGAGAGATGCACATGGAGCAAACAGTCGCTGAAAATAGCGTTTTGTCAGTATTCAAGGATGTCAGCTTGCGGGAATATTAGCTAATGATAACCATGTCAACAGAAACCCCAAAGCGTATATACTGCAGGTCAAATATCTGTGTTTTATGCGGGTTTTCGTTTGTTGGGAGATCAGTGTTGGCGACCGGGGAAGAGAAAATCCATTTTGTAAGTCCCGCCGAACCCTAAATAGTAGCCGTTGTCTGATTGGTTAAATCCGTTCGGCCGTCTCGCGTTTGATTGGACGGTCATAGGTCGCTCAAAGGTTAGCTGACGCGACCTTCCACAAGGTTTTGTTAGACCAGGGAGACTCTATAAGTATAGTTAGGTGTATAGCAGTAGAGTGGTGTAACGAATAACGAATAATACTGAGCCTAAGTTTACTTAGACTGAGCGTAGGCTTACACTAAAACTGGTTTGCATCAAACGAAAATATTTTGAATGTTACATAAGATTAACGATTGTCTTTATATTTATAATTAAGAATAGAACGCGTATTTGTCAGCCAACAGAGAAAGTAGCTGACGTCAAGAAAATCTGAGATGAATGATACCGTATTTCTTCTATGTCAAGGCAGTCATCGAGCATTCTTTGAAACCGCTTATGTGAAAACGAGGCTTAATTATTGTACTGTTTTATGCGTCAATGACTCTTTCTTCCAATTAGTCGCTTTAAACAATGTTATAGCAATATTACGGCGGGATAAATCTACAAATAGTCACGCATTGTACCCATTGTGGGGAATAGAACCCGGGCCTCAGGTGTGACGAGCGAACGCTTTAACCACTATGCCTACCCTCCTCCACAGAGGCGATAATTCACACATAACATACCTTAGTCCTAGTCGGGACGGAATAACCCGGCGATTAACATCACACATTCACTGACGTTCATAGTCAGGTCGATTCTGTGATTAGCGCGAGACATTGAAGAGTGTCCCTATTGAACAGGGGGCGGTGGGGTAGCCGAGTGGTTAAAGCGTTGGCTCGTCACGCCGAAGACACGGGTTTCGATTCCCCATATGGGTACAATGTGTGAAGCTCATTGCTCGTGTCCTCTGCCGTGATATTGCTGGAATATTGCTAAAAGCGGCGTAAAAACATACTCACTCACTGACACAAGACAGGTTGAAGCATCAATTACGTACGTACAGTACGTATGTAAAATACCATATACGTCATTGTTGCAGTATGGATCTCACGTAAAACAATGTAAACCTGTGACAAATTAAAGGAACGTTTTTTAGCCGACAGCAAGCTTTACTAAGGACGATCCACATACTGTCTCTTCTTGCCATTCAAGTACACAACGAAAGTATTGTAATGATTTATTTATAGCAATTAGCATTAAACTGGTCTCTCTAATGCTTTGAAGTTTATTTGATTGGTGTGAGGGTATGTCTCCTCCAGGTAGCGTCACGTCTCGGGTGTTGTGTTCAGTGACATATGTACGGGACAATACGACACGTGACGCCCTTGTAGGCTTTGCTTTGCCTGATTCTGTACTTAATTGGACGATTACACCCGCAGATCAGGTACACCGTGCAGCGTGCTCTTCAAACAATGATGCATGTTCCCTACAAAAATCCTCTGTCAACAAGCAGCAATTACAGGTGTAAAAAACAAACAGTGAAATCTACATCACCTGTACCAAAGAAAGGGATGGTTTCATTTACTTGGCGATCAAACACTAGGCTTTCTCTTACCCACAATACAGACACGTTACTGTGGATGCTGGGACGACTCGCTGATGTTGATGTCCCTCATACCTGACAACCCTAAGGGTTAACAAGACGGACAGACACTTTCATTGCACTGCGATCACCCTTCATCTGTACACCGTCAAATACAGAGTTATCTGCCCCTGTCTAGAGCGGGCGTGCAAACCCGCCTACAGCTCACCTGAGGCCCAGTGACGCGAACAAGTCATCATGAACGCTCTGCTGTTAGCTGTTGGTATGTTTTAACTTTTATTTCAAATGTTAAACAGTTAGTGAGGATTAGACACAACGTCCAATATTTGCCAGAACACACGTATCTGTTTTTTGGGTTTAATGTTTTCTTTAAACATGCCATTTCTATAACTTTGATGAGAGACTTCTCTTTACGAGTTTCTGAGGGTAAATTAAGGCAAATTCTTTGACAAAATGCAAGGATATGAACATAATTATGCATTGTAATCTACACCAGAAAAAGCTGCAGTATAGCTATGAGGTTTGAATTTACATGCTCGGTAAGGTAGCTCGAAACTGTAATATTCCTGAAAAAACAACATGTTTTGAAATATATTATATTTATTCAATACTTACGACTTGAATCAAACGCAAAACAGTTGAATAATCGTGATAATTATCATATTTTCTTAAGAATGAATTTGTAAGCTCTCACCAGCCGTTACATTACTCTTTAGAATGTTGAAAGGTCAGAAGTAATAACGTTCTCTTTTATATGAAAATATATTTTCCCGAACCAAATCGGGTTCCAGTCAAATTGGCTACAGATCTCTCGGTTTCCTAGTCAGAATGCAATTGTTCTTCCAAGTTTGAATGACAGGTATGACACATCTTCAGGTGAGTCTTACCTGTTGTCAACATTCCGGGCAGGTAGCGCGTTAAGGTAGATTCAGGAGAAAAAAAATCGTCGTGCTTTGATCTCGCAAGCACATCTCGCGCTGGGAGTGACCGCAGTGTTTGAGTCAACACGGGCTACCATTTAATTACCTCGGTTTGAGGGAGGATTCACAACGCCACGAGGATATTTAGTCGGGCCGTGTGTGATCTCGAGCCGATACCTGTGTTAGGTTCTTCCCTCGTACATGCTATACGTGGACACTCCCCCACAGAGAGGCACGTGCGACAATTATGCCTACTTCCTCATCAGGAGAGTAATCATTATCAGGGATGAATTAACTTTAAAATGGATAGTGTACTCCGGTACAGTGGCACATGTAAAGTCACTTGCCCTGATAATTTTCCCACTATACCGACCGTTTTCTTACTGATTTTTTAAATAAACAACATAATTAACATTGGAAAGTCAACTGGACACCGGTACAGTGTGATATACAAATTTGCTTGCCCGACAGAAAAAAACACTGGATTCGGACGTCGGGCAATGGGTTATTTCCGACCCTGTCATTGTAGGATTTGTTTCGCAATGTTTTGTTTTCTGTTGAACATGTTATATTCCATATAAGAATTAAGGATGCTAGCGTTTACAAAGTTCAGGAAGAACAATGCACCAAATCGATTTCAGCTATAATGTAATTTTTACTGATAATGTCGATAGCACACCAGTTAAAGCGTTCGCTTGTCACAACATTCCCGAGTTCGATGCCCAGATGAGCATAATGTGTGAAGTTCCCCACTGTAGTTTCCTGTAGTTTCGAAACAAAATATACCCTAACCTTTTCGTTTTTGTACAGTGGAATATTCGTACATTAACAGCATACTTTATCTACCAAAACAAAGATGGTGTATTAATCATGCACAGGGACCCGGAAAGGTTTCTAAGATGCAAGGGTGTTTAAGTGCATGGCAATGCATACTGTTTGCCAAGATTGTGATACTTCTGGGTTTCCACATATAGGGCTGTGCTAAGGGGCTTCCATGCATAGCGGGGACGGTGGGGTAGCCTAGTAGTTATAGCTTTGATTTGTCACGCCGAAGACCCGGGTTCGATTCCCTAATGGGTACAATGTGTGAAGCCCATTTCTGGTGTCCCCCGCCGTGATATTGCTGGAGTATTGCTCAAAGCGGCGTAAAACTATACTCACTCCATACACAGGGGTGCTTAATGCTTCCATGGCGACATGGCGATACCTCAGGGTTGCGCACTTTGAGGATCCGATGGCTGCTGGTTCCAATCTACCACTCACTCCTATATTTTGTGTTCCGTTCCATATCTAGCTGCAGCTGACACGCCCGTGTAATACTGGAACACTGTTACAAGCGTCGTTGAACTTATTTCACTGTACAGGAGTGAGTGAGTGAGTGAGTGAGTGAGGCTTAAAACCCTTTTGAACAGTGTTGTAGTTTTGTCAGCTTAATGTGGGTGGAATGCCAGAAGTAACGCACGTCCCCGACCTTTAGGAACCGTTCCTAATTTATGACTGGGGGGTTGATGATGAGTATTTTTATGGAGATGCATGTACAATGTGAATGTCACCCCCAAAACTTTATGTACAAAGTAAGTGCCCCACACACACACACACCGCATGTCATTTACAAAATCAATGCCCCTCCCCATATTTTTTAAGCATAGGATTTTAATATTTCTGAGTACAAAATGCTGAACCCCAACCGCAACCCCCCACACACACACACACACACGCACGCACACACGCACGCATGCACTCAACCTCCCCAGAACAAAATTGGTTATACTCCCACCCCCCTTAAAATCATCATCATCTGGTCATTAATTATGAACGGTCCCTTACCACTTTGGTGATACCACGAGCCTAGAACTGAATGACTGAGTTTAGTTTTACGCCGCTTTTAGCAATATTCAAGCAATATCACGGCGGGGGACACCAGAAATGGGCTTAATACATTGTGCCCATGTGGGGAATCGAACCCGGGTCTTCGGCGTGACGAGCAAACGCTTTAACCACTAGGCTACCCCACCGCCCCTCACGAGCCTAGAAACCCTGACCTGGAAGTATAATATACCTGTATCAATGGACGCAGTTCTGCACAGTCATTCAATTACAATGTCTCTAAAACAACGGGTCTTTTTTATTTTAGCTGTGTTGTGCCTGATGTGTGTGGGGAGTCAGCGGATTCGACCCCGATCTCTGTGTGTGGGCAATCAGATCTTTCCCACTAGGAGCACCTGCAGCAAGACCTACTTCCGCTGCGACAACCGCACCACCATCAGGGGCTCCTGTCTCGAGGACATGTACCTGGGACCCAACAACTCTTGTGAACCCAGGGCCGAATGTAAATATTCCAATAGATATTCATTAACGTCGATCCAAATATTAATATATCAGTTAGAGAAAGGAAAGAGAGATTACAATAGGACAACAATATTAGCTTGTATGAGAGCTGATACCAACACCAACGGCCTACCAATGACAGTGATATATTCCTGTCAACCCCCACGACTATGGTCTGAAATTCACACTTCTTTATAATTAGACATTAAGGGCGTCGGGGAAGCCTTGTGGTTAAAGCGTTCGCTCGTCACACCGACGACCCGGGTTCGTTTCTCCACATGGGTACTATGTGTGAAGCCCATTTCTGGTGTGCCCCGCGTGATATTGCTGGAATATTGCTAAAAGAGGCGTAAAACTAAACTCACTCTTTAGACATTGTCCCACAGATGGTCTCACGAACTTTAAGCACGTTTTCTTTACAACAGAAGCAGGATAAAGACCATGTTTGGACTTCCTGAAATGTCAAATGTTAGGTCATGGAAATCTGTTAAATATTTGCATGAACTATATCAATTGAAATGGCGGATGTCCCATTTGACATTTGAACATTTTGGACGCCTGTAGCCAAGAACATATAAATTTATATGGCTAAATAGGTGAAAATCATAAACAGTAACACTATCTTTCTTGAAAACGATTTTTAACCAATCTGTAGGCTACTGTTTTATATCTACACCTCCTATGGAAATCTGCCTGGGTAAAAGATATACTGACAACTTCTAAAACCAGGGTCTGTAACGTATTGTATCCTTACATATGCATTTTGTGGTGTAATAAGTAAATAACATACTGAAATGAACAAAGCCAGGCAACATTCACATACACAACATTTGCTCACGTGAAAAGATTATTGTCTAAATTTGCGCATGTGTACATTTACATTTGCACCAACCACATGCAAATTTGCTCCATAAGTAAACATACACACGTGAGTAAACGCGTTTACTGACATTTGTATATAGGTGCACGTGAATGGGGCTTAATTCTCATTCACATGAACACATCTATTAACTTGAATAACAATTTCAAATACGACGGGTACAACAGACAATTTTAGAACTGAATATCCTTTAAGAAAACCAATTCCGCCCACTGATCATGTCGTCTGCTCTAGCCGCCATGTTTGTTTTGATCACGCTTTTCTGTGTTAAAGGTGGATCTCCAAGTGTGTCCAGGAGAGGCCGACGGAAGAGACAGACAGGGTCAGGTACGTGATTTCAGAGTGAGTGAGTGAGTGAGTGATTTCAGAGTAAGTGAGTGATTTCAGAGTGAGCGAGGGAGGGAGGAACACTTTCGTCGACACAGTGCATGCCCGACATATCAGCTGGCAAGTACATTCGTTGCTCTCAATACCCGGACTCGTTGTGATCATGTGACCAATAGATTAAACAATGTAATTAGGAGATAAACATACTGTGTTGGAAAATCAGAGGTATATAACGAAATTATAACAGCTCTAAATTTGATTTAAAACCGAACGCGTAGCGTGAGCGATTTGGTCCACTCGTCGTCACGCCATGGCCACCTACTGATTTTTCCAACGCAGTACGTTTATCTCCATTCCCCAGATAGCATTCGGACGTTGGCAATGTTGGCGAAACCATTGCCAACGTTGGGCCAACGTCTGAATGCTATCTCGGTCTTCCATAACCGCATTATTAAGATTTAAAAATAAATACATACTGTGTTGGAAAATCACAGGTATATAACGTGATTATATACCCCTGAATGACTGATTAACCAATCACAATCCAGTATTTACTGAAGTCATGGTAGAATATGTTATTCTTTCATGATTAAAAGACTGTATTGTCTTTGAAGATTTAGACAAAATTACAGTCACTTCTCTTGAATATACTACATGGTTAAGATATTGAAAAACTCGAATATTTAGACTCCGTGCTGAAGAATATATTTTGCCATTTCTTACAAATTTAATGTCAGGAATTAACATAGCGGGTATCCGGGTAGGGTAGGGTAGGGTAGGGTAGGGTAGGGTAGGTAGGGTGGGGTGAGATGCCCGAGTAGAAAATTTGGACCCGTCCCAGCCCTAATCAGGATGCACCCGTGAAGATCCGGGTTAGAATGTACCTTCAGTAACCAATGCTTGTCGTAAGAGGCGACTAACGGGATCGGGTGGTCAGGCTCGCTGACTTGCTTGACACATGCCATCGGTTCCCAATTGCGCAGATCGATGCTCATATACATACATACATACATACTAACATTTGCATAGCGCCGATATCCAGGCCAGCTCAGCTGCTCACAGGCGCTTTGTTTTTCCCTCGTTCACTGGATGTCAATCTCAACGGCACATCGTATTGTCAATCTCAACTCCCTGAGGATCATACAACTCTTGCAGCCGCTAGGTACACCGAGTTAGTGTGGCATTCCCATCCTTACGAGGTACCCATTCACAGCTGGGTGGACTGGGACACATAGTCACAGTACTTTGTCCAAGTTTACTGCACGTTGCAGTGGCTGTGTTTGCACGTATTCATATGGCCACCATCTGGTCATCTACCAACGGATTCGTGGGTTCTTTTAAGTGCACAGGGTTGTGTACTGTACACTAGGGTTTGTGACAACACTGAAAAAGTCTGCACACAAAGTTGACTCCAAGGCTTTTACACCCGGTCACAGGTGGGCTCGATCCCGTCACCTCAAGCTCGCTGGATCACAAGCCTGGCGCTTTAGCCAGTTCGCCCACCGCGCCCCGCCTCATGCTGTTGATCACTGGATTGTCTGGTCCAGACTCGATTATTTACAGACCGCCGCCATATAGCTGGAATATTGCTGAGTGCGGCGTAAAACTAAACTCACTCACTTATGCTGTGTGTATATTGTAACACAACTTTAAATACATGTTCATGTTAACTGAATAATTCCATGCAGCATCATAGACACATTCATTGTCTGTTAGATTTTTCCTTTACTTCATTTATATGACTTGTGAGTAATAGTTCTCACATGAGTACAATTATTTACAGACCGCCGCCATATAGCTGGAATATTGCTGAGTGCGGCGTGAAACTCAACTCAGGATGCGATGTTTACCACTTGCCTGAAAATTGGACTGCATTTTAGTTACATCACGGAATGGAAGAGGAAAGATGGATGTGTTGCAAGTCTAAGACAATCAACACTTTGGGAAGCCTATGCGCATGGGGGGGTTTGGTGCTGACAAACGTAGAAACATTGTCGGAGTGAACTGGGATTCGAACAGTTGTCGGACTGCTGGTTATGGCGATTTGCTCCACTCGTCGTCACGCCACCTACTGTCCCAAATATGTCCTCATTAAAGGTCACATGCAACGTAAAACACAACTTTGCAGATTCTGATACCTTTCGGTATGGACTTACCGAAACAGATCGTCAAAAATGCAAATTCAACTTATAAAGTTGAAAAATAACGCGATGAAAAAAACCGTGCGAAATCGGAGTTCAAACGTTTCACAAATTTTCCCCCGACTTTTCGGGGGAAAACTGGTTTCCACAGCTGGGCTGCCCTCATAGCACGTGCGCAGTGAAATAGGTTCGCGCAGCTTGGAGGCGGGTTGTCCGGTGAATACTCGGTGAAGGCTTTGGTGTGAGCTATTTTTCTAATGTTTTGTTGATATCTCACAGGCGCGAGCTTTTTATATGTTATGACAGTAAATTAACTGTTTATATAATTTCATTTGTCTATTTCACCACACGTTCTTCTTACCGAGTCACTCTCTCAGTACGATACTTGAAAGCAATGTCATTATTTAGTGTTGACAGAATTTCTAACTGTGATATTGATATGTCGTTGTCACAGACAAAACTCAATGTCTTGTTTTATTGACACCTGTGTGTCTGCCTGCCTGTCTGCTAATGACAATATTCAATACACAGCTGCTATCACTGACCACATGCAATTTGAACTTAACACCAATCAGGCTATACACCATAAACAAAATGCATTGATTTATGGCCCGAGTTCGGTCTCTGTCACATTATGTAATTACACAGACAGGCAGGCGTGATACTTGAACACATGACATGTTATGATGTCTGTTGATTGTAAAATGTTATACACAAAAAATGAGCATGTATTTACAAAACCCAACATCTCTATATATACACACACAATGAGCCGCGAGGGCATCTGCAAATGAACACGCCGTTACACTTGAGTGCACACACACCCGCTCTGACTGGGTTCGGTATCCCGGCTGCTTTGTTTCCAGGGAAGTAAACCCAAGTACACAATATTGCACTTTTGATTTGCGATTGTACGCTTATAATTTTGTTTATATGTTTTTTCATAACCAGCAATGTATGTTATATGTGATGAATAAGTGATAATTGTGTATTAATTATGTTTGATTTTTTGGTTGCATGTGACCTGTAAGGTATGTAGGAACTCCCTGCAGTGTAAACTGACATGTAGTCACTGAAATATAGTTCTCAGCAATGTTCCTGCTATTTGACAGTGGCCTGTATATAATTGAGTCTCGACCAGACAATCCAGTGATTGATATTGCTGTGGTACGAGGACATGCAATCAACAAAGCGTGACCACCCAATCCACTTGGTCGCCGCATACTATCAGCGGAGAAAATACAATTATGCATAATGTTCAATAAAAATAATTCTGTAACGGAACACTCAAGTCTCAGATATATTCCTCGAGTTGAGGATGAGGATGCCAGACTGTAAGAGAATGGCGAATGAAGGGAAATAATGGGGATTTTGTGCGTCATCGTATTTGATCAATGCTCACATGAATATTCGTTCGCATGAATGTGAGTGAGAGAGTTTAGATATACGCCGCTTATAGCAATATTCCAGCAGTACCACGGCGGGGGATACCAGAAATGGGCTTCACACATTGTACCCATTCTCGAAAGACAATGTGGGGGCGGTGGAGTAGCCTAATGGTTAAAGCGTCCGCTCGTCACGCTGAAGACCCGGGTTCGATTACCCACGTGGGTACAATATATGAGTCCTTTTCTGGTATCCTCAGCCGTGATATTGCTGGAATATTGCTAAAAGCGGCGTAATACACACTCACTCACTGAAGCCAAAGTTGGTGCAATAGGGTTGCCCTATGGTAAAAGCGTCGGTTGGAATAATGGTGAATAAGACAAAGAAAACAATGAAATTAGGATTGTCCAGTCGTGTCTATACGGCCATCTTGTGTTGACAGGTTCCCCTGGCCAGTGTAATCAGAAGTTCGACTGCCCTCAAAACCTTGTGTTCTACATCTACCCCGACTGGGATAACTGCACCCAATTCAACACGTGCAGAGAGGGCGTGGTCGAGACTGTCAGCTGCAGCATCTTCAACCTCAAGTACTACAACCCCAACCTGTTCAGTTGTGAAGTCGACCTCGACCTTGACCCAGTAACACCCCAGAACAACGTCTGCCTCAACAGGGCTGTGCGGTTCGGGAAGTAGAAGCAGTTTTGAAGACGGCGGTTACAGGAATGTTGATTGTCCAGTACCTGTAGATATCGATCTAAGGGATATTAAATTAAAGTGAAAACAAAAAACCAAAAAAATACTGATGCCTATTGTGTTTTGGTTTTGTTCATGGAGACAGTACTGGTAATCAGTTACCTTAACTGCCGGCAATATTTCCTATGTATCTTTCGCTAAGGGAGATGTTTTGCTGAACGTTTTGCAATAAACCTTTCGATTCTATATCTGTCCTTTGTCATTGAAGGTGGTAGCTATGATATTAACTTGTCGCTGATACGGTATGTAGTGTCCATTATTGTGGCATTTCTTGTTTAATTTGAATAATGAAAGGCGTGTTCGAAGACAGGTAAATTGCTGCTTGAATGAACTGCTCCAACCATGGTCCATCTGGTCTTTAGAACCATCGACTGCGCACACCAGGGTCGGAGACAAGAAATAGGTTCTGTTCTTGAACCATGCAGATCTGAAGCTGTACAGTCTATCCAAGTTTGACTTCCCTATACTTGGTCGAGTTTTCTCACACAGTACCTGTAATTTTCAAACTCGTGACGAATGGCGTAAATCACGAACCTTATACTCCTTCCACTGAACGCAGCATAACATTCCATCCGACGTCATTAGTCCCGTTGACGGTCACCGCTGATGAAACACGTTATATCTGTGAAGAGGACTAACCTAAAGTCCTGTAACCTGAACCTGAACTGTTGTCTCGACCATGCCTGGGCGGTGGGGTAGACTTGTGGTTGAAGCATTCGCTCGTCACGCTGAAGGCCGGGTTCGATTCACCAGATAGGTACAATGTGTGAAGCCCATTTCTGGTGTCCCCGCCGTGATATTGCTGGAATATTACTAACAGCGGTGTAAAACTCGACTCGCCCACTCGACCATGCCGGGCGTGCATTTCGAAGATTGAAGAAAATGGACTAAGCGATGTACGTCCTTGTTATGCTCGTGTATGTTATACTCTCGAAACTGATTCCAAAAATATGACGTAAGTTTTGAGGAGGTAAGCAAGGTCTGTCAAATGTGCAGTCTGAACACGATTTCACGGTGAACTAGACGGCTATGCATTTCTTGCCAACGTGACGTTGCTCGAAGACGTCCAGATGTTTGGGAACGCTGGCGTGACAATGAAAGACCAAGGAGTGGGTTACATGTAAGGTGGCATCTGCGATATTTCAGTCACATAAAACCAAGGTCCTAGTCCTGTAGGGGTGTTGGGGTAACCTAGTGGTTAAAGCGTTCGCTCGTCACTCGGTAGACGAGGATTCTGTTCATGGGTACAGTGTGTGAAAGTCATTTCTGGTGTCTCTCGCGGTGATATTGCTAGAATATTGTTATAAAGGTGGGTACAACCAAACTCAGTCACTCATTCCTTGTCCAGGAGAATTTGTGATCCAACGATTGCTGATCGGGCACATCCATGTAACAGAAGTCTGAAATGTCAAGTTATGAACTCAGACAACTGAACAAATGAGTTAAACAGTTAGGTAGTTAGTTCAGATTGTGAAGGGCTTATCTGAACTATTCTGGATGTGTTTGTTTAAATAAGTTTTCATGCAGTTTGCTGCAAATGTAAAACTGATCCAGACAGCCTCACTATGTACAACAACTGGACAACAAGCACCTGCAGTGGAAATTCTTTATTACATATTTACATGGTATGGTATACCACCATCAACTTAGGTCATATACACATACATCATATATACAGTTATGGCAACATAAAGCATAATGAAAGACATGACTTGAATATGGAATATGTGAATATGGCACACTCGAAAGTCTGAGGAGATCAACATATTACTTATTATTAAGTTATTCCTGAACATGTGAGGGCATCAATTATAGAAGTATCAAGATGTCATTACTGAAGTACCAGAACATTCATAGACAGAAGTACCCGGACATCCATATATAGAAGTACCAGGACATCCATATATAGAGTGAGTGAGTGAGTAAGTGAATGAGTAAGTGAGTGAGTGAGTTTAGTTTTGCGCAACACTCAGCAATATTCCAGCTATATCGCGGTGGTCTGTAAATAATCGAGTCTGGACCAAACAATCAAGTGATCAACAGCATGAGCATTGATCTATGCAATTGGGAACCAATGTCATGTGTCAACCAAGTCAGCGAGCCTGACCACCCAAATAGCGTTAGTCGCCTCTTACGACAAGCATTTTTTACTGAAAACCAATTCTAACCGAGATATAGAAGTACCAGGACATCAATATATAGAAGTATCAGAACATCCACATTTGAAGGCTACATACAGATAGCGACAAGCAACCCAGGTCCCCATTGTTTGTGCTACAACAGTCATCATTATGCATTGTTTATGTACATGAGAAAGTTGTCCTCAACCCATTATATCAATATCACAATAAGCCAAAATGAACTTCTCTGATTACATAGTATAACTGTTCTACATTATTGTGATGTAAGTCAGATAGCGTCAGATATCAATAAGAAACCGCACACCTATGTTTTAAAAAACAGAATTTGAAGTGTCCTTCATTGTAATAACTGGACTGCCTTTCTGTCTGCATTGTTTTAATAAATATTTGTCACTTAAGTATTAACATATTTGATCATGTTAACCAGGTGTAATACATTATCTTTATAAATGAACCACAGATACAACTCTCTAAGCACAGGTTAGTTAACATGTTGAATTAAGAGACAAAAAAACCCAAAACTTCACCTTGAAAAGACATCAGCTAGAGGTTACAATCATACAGCAAAGAGTGTGAGTGAGTGAGTTTTAATTTTACGCAGCTTTTAGTAATATTCCAGTAATATCACAGTGGGGGACACAAGAAAAGGGCTTCACACATTGAACTCATGTGAGAACTATTGCTCACAAGTCATAGAAATGAAGTGAAGGAAAAATACAACAAACAATGGATGTGTCTTTGATGCTGCATAGAATTACTCAATAAAGTGTTAAAGAATAAACATGTAGTCAAAGCTGTGTAACAATATATACATAGCATAAAACAATTTCAACGGTTAAATGAAATGTACTTTGTAAAATCTCTACTCTCTTTGCTTGTCTTTTTATATTTTCTAAATCTGTCCATTACAATCACTTTCTTAAATGTGATGCACATAATGCAAAATGAATTTTTTAAATACCAGGGAAAAGTTGTTTTAAATTGCAGAACTCCCAATTCCTTTCAGATTGTGAATACGATATGCTTTAATAAAATCATGCAGGTGTTTTAAATGTTTCCAGACACAGAATACATAATTGAAACCCATGATTCTGAAAACATATTTCTTAACAATGTAAAATACAGAAGTACTTTCTCACGAACTCTTTCAGTGATCTGTAATAATGAGGAGAAAACTGAATGTATCTGGTTAATACTGATCAAACTGCATGAGTTATTTATGAAGCATCCATTTTGCCAAGCCAACTGACATGTTTTTCCATATTTGGAATTGTGGAAGACTAGATAAAAAAGTTTTCATATGCAATGAAAAGACTTTTGGGATCCAATTCATTTCAACAACAGTTCGTAGCAAACAATCTTATTTATTATATAACATGGTCAGCTGATATGGGAGAACTACCAACACAGTGAACAACCAATACTAATGATACTGATTTCAATGTAATATACTGGCACACTGGTAGCATACCTTACAGTTCCATATCCACATGATCAAAACTTTCAACCAAAAACCACTTCAAACCTTAGCAGTCAAGGCATTATATCACAGGACTCCAGATAAGTTTTCAACATCAGGAGTACGTACTCCTTATTTTTTCAATAAAGGAGTACTGGAAAACCTTAAGAGTACATTTAGAGTACAGAATGGAATTTAATGGAGTATCAGTAAGCTTGTGTAAGCCCTTTACCATATACTCACACCCATAAGAAACGCAAGTTTTTATCTAACTAGGAAACAAACTCGGAACCCTAAATTGATATGAGTATTTGTCAAGCCTGGTGGTGTTATCAATAAAAAAAATGCATTTTGGAATGCCCTAGTAAATACACATCTAAAGAAGGAATCACCAAAACACCATACTAATGAACATGTGGGCATCATGCACACATTTCTCGTGAAATCGAACATGCATGAATTGTAACCACCATAAGGGCATAAGACTGTGCACAAAAATTAGGTCTATCACTCCTTGTTCAACAATACTTTAACACTCAGTGTTCGCAATACTTTAATTTGCCAGTTGGCCATCAGGGCCTGCTGCTGCCTGCAGGCTGTAAAATGTACAGGCCCTGAATGAAATCTCCAGGCCCATTTTGTTAAAGTCAAACCAATAAAAACAAAATAGACTACACTGTGCACAGTTTCACACTGTTTCTACAAAATCAATTAGCGAACACTATGGCGCAGAGAGAAGTTTTTGTTTGTTAAAGACTGGTGTTGACATTCCTATGTGCAAAGCTCTTAAATACCAGGAAGTGAAACTGTAAGTTATCGTAACATGATGGATCATGAATGATTCCCGAACGTTAATAAAGGGGAAAAAAACAAGGGAAAGATTCAGTTGTGAAAAAGAAGACAGATAATTACTGAAGGCCACGTGACCTGCAGATATTTAAACTGCCGTCCCGATACAATAACAACTGACGCTGGGCCTCCGGGCCGGCGATTATTTCAAACGCTGACCAGGGTCACACTAGGTATTGACTGACATTTTGGCTATTGACCAAAATCTGTGTAATCCCTTTACCTTTCGAAAACTTAATGTCATCAGTCTTTGCAGCCAATTAAATGTCTTCACTCAATTGTCTGTCTATCTGACCCTGTTGGCATTTCTTGTATTTAATGTTGAAAATTACATGCATGTATACTTTATACTTGACTTGTGAGTACATGTAAGTACATTTATGCATTAGTTCTAACAAACATTAACAACAGTTTTATACATGTTTAAGTTTTAACAGCATGGTTTGGTAACAAGATATTGCAAGGGGATAACCATGATGTATAAGTGTACCTACTAAAACCAGAGGTCTTGTATAATTCCAAAAATATTTTCATATCCTACTTATCACATTATGGAAAACATCTGGGGAACTTGGAAATAAAAACATTGACCTTCTCAGGTGATAAAATAACAGAAGCAGTTTGTCAGAACTTGGTTCTACAAGTGTGAGTGAGTGACTTCAGTTTTATGCCGCTTTTAACCATATTCCAGCCATATCACGGCAGGGGACACCAGAAATGGGCTTCACACATTGTACCAATGTGGGGAATCGAACCCGGGTCTTCAGCATGACGAGCAAACACTTTAACCACTAGGCTACCCCACCGCCCCGGTTCTACAAGAACAATAGGAGAGTGACATAATACAGTTGATTCACTGTAAAATAACAACATAGGGAAGAAATACACTGTCATTTGTCTTTAGGGGAAGGTTATCAAAATAACCACTGCCGTACATGTAGCCAGTTGAAGATTATTTATGTCCCAAAACTGAATACCAGACACAGATGTAACAACATTCAACTGTTTCCAGGAGAAAAACATGCGCCATTTCCATGACTGTCACCAATTAACACAACCCACACACTCCATACTGAATATGTATCTGGTCACAACACATATATGGTATGTTTCTGGTGGAATCAAGTTCACATTTATTAACTGGGTACCTAAGCCCCTTTTACAAGACTCTATCCGGGTACCCAACCCCCTATTACCCTACCTCCTATTATCAGACTCTACCTGGGTACCCAACCTCCTATTACCCTACCTCCTATTATCAGACTCTACCTGGGTACCCAACCTCCTATTACCCTACCTCCTATTATCAGACTCTACTTGGGTACCCATCCCCTGATTACAAGACCCTATCAGGATACCAAAACGGGTACCCTACCCTTTAACCAAACCCTACCTATGTTGTCGAGACCACTATTACTCAACCCTACATCAAGGTGTTGATGTCAGGATCTCAGACAGTGTGCTACCAGTACATAGGCGGATCCAGAGGTGTGTGTGTGTGTGTGTGTGTGTGTGTGTGTTAGAGCGAGCGTGTGCGCACCCCCCCTTTTGTGCTGAAAGTTTGTTAAATGACCATTGAAACTGTGCACCCCTCCTTTTCTCCATAGTGTGCACCCCCCCTTTCTCAAAAAGCTGTATCCGCCCCTGCCAGTATACAATGTTTAACAAGAAAGATGATGAAAAACAGATTTGATTTGCTCTCTTTGACTTAGTAAACATAATGCATATTAAAATCAGATCATATTCTTGCTACAACTAAACACAGATCTCAGGACAACACAAAATGACCTTCAAACAGACTGCCACTTCCAGATCGAGAGTGTTGGAAGATATTCTGTAATTATGCAACCTTTGAAAAGATCAGCATGGGGTATTCTGAACGACAGGTATGGGATCTAATACTGATTCCATCAAAATCATCATCAATCTCTCTCCACATTGGGGAAACTTTTGAAACGGAAGAGACTTACCATTATTTGTGGAATGGAAGTGGCAGTTTGAAACTAGAGCCATAAACCTGGAGAAAGCAGATTTCTGATTGGTTGATGTTTGTCATTTTGTCAGATGGTCAAAGAACGTAAAACATTGTTCCATCTGTTATGGGCTGCCCTCAGATCTTTATGTAGCCATAGTGAGGAATACAATCTGATTTTAATGAGATTGCATAATCCTTATTAAAGACATAAAAATCATATTTTGACCATTTGGATGCGTCCTAGGTTTATGGACATCCTAGCTGACAATATAATTACTGCGTCCTACATTAACACCTGAACTGACAGTATCATTACCATGTCCTAGGAATGGCGACAGTCTACGTGACGATATTAAAATATTGTCCTAAGTCTGTGGATTCTAATGAAATGAAACAGTTAAAAAAAAAACCAACTGTTTTCTTTTTGATTCAACTTTTCATGTTTCATAAATATATGCATATCATTCCTTAAACAAAATAAGTATAAAAGAGTATATAGCATATACAAACATGTGTTCAGTAATAATATAAGCTATCACATGAGCATGAGCATTTCTGTGTTGCTGAAGCTCAGACACTATGAACATGAGCATTTCTGTGTTGCTGAAGTTCAGATACTATGAACATGAGCATTTCTGTGATGCTGAAGTTCAGACACTATGAGCATGAGCATCTCTGTGTTGCTGAAGTTCAGACACTATGAACATGAGAAGCTCAGTGTTGATGATGATGCAACAGGATGATATGACCTCTAAAATCTATGACTGTCATTCCATGTGTGATGTCATCGCCATCTGTGACGTCATCTCCATCTGTGACATCCACATCACCTGCGACTGCTAACACTGATCTATAATGATAGTCTTGCTCCGTGTGGAAGTGGTAGTGTGTGTCCAGAGCACAGGCTGTAGAGGCACTGCGAGTCCATAAGTCCACACTGAGATTGTTGTGCTGTACCTGCTCCCTAGGGGTCTCAGATGGACTGGCTGAGTAGAGGGGTCCTCTCTGATGGAATATCGGGGTCTTCCCTGTACACAGACATAAGACAGACATGTCACAGATAAAGAAACCCATATGTTCTGTTTAGTTTGTTTGTTATTTAATGCTTCATTCAGCAATATCAGGGCATCAAGGAGATGGTGTAGGTTGGTTGGTTGATTTGTTATTTAATGCTTCATTCAGCAATATCAGGGCATCAAGGACAGGGTGTAGGTTGGTTGGTTGATTTGTTATTTAATGCTTCATTCAGCAATATCAGGGCATCAAGGAGAGGGTGTAGGTTGGTTGGTTGATTTGTTATTTAATGCTTCATTCAGCAATATCAGGGCATCAAGGACAGGGTGTAGGTTGGTTGGTTGATTTGTTATTTAATGCTTCATTCAGCAATATCAGGGCACCAAGGACAGGGTGTAGGTTGGTTGGTTGATTTGTTATTTAATGCTTCATTCAGCAATATCAGGGCATCAAGGAGAGGGTGTAGGTTGGTTGGTTGATTTGTTATTTAATGCTTCATTCAGCAATATCAGGGCATCAAGGAGAGGGTGTAGGTTGGTTGGTTGATTTGTTATTTAATGCTTCATTCAGCAATATCAGGGCATCAAGGAGAGGGTGTAGGTTGGTTGGTTGATTTGTTATTTAATGCTTCATTCAGCAATATCAGGGCATCAAGGAGATTTGTTATTTAATGCTTCCATTCAGCAATATCAGGGCATCAAGGAAAGGGTGTAGGTTGGTTGGTTGATTTGTTATTTAATGCTTCATTCAGCAATATCAGGGCACCAAGGAGACAGGGTGTAGGTTGGTTGGTTGATTTGTTATTTAATGCTTCATTCAGCAATATCAGGGCATCAAGGAGGGGGTGTAGGTTGGTTGGTTGATTTGTTATTTAATGCTTCATTCAGCAATATCAGGGCATCAAGGACAGGGTGTAGGTTGGTTGGTTGATTTGTTATTTAATGCTTCATTCAGCAATATTGGTTGACAGGGTGTAGGTTGTTGATTTCATTCAGCAATATAGGGCATCAAGGAGAGGGTGTAGGTTGGTTGGTTGATTTGTTATTTAATGCTTCATTCAGCAATATCAGGGCATCAAGGAGAGGGTGTAGGTTGGTTGGGTGCTTCATTCAGCAATATCAGGCATCAAGGAGAGGGTGTAGGTTGGTTGGTTGATTTGTTATTTAATGCTTCATTCAGCAATATCAGGGCATCAAGGAGAGGGTGTAGGTTGGTTGGTTGATTTGTTATTTAATGCTTCATTCAGCAATATCAGGGCATCAAGGAGAGGGTGTAGGTTGGTTGGTTGATTTGTTATTTAATGCTTCATTCAGCAATATCAGGGCATCAAGGACAGGGTGTAGGTTGGTTGGTTGATTTGTTATTTAATGCTTCATTCAGCAATATCAGGGCATCAAGGAGAGGGTGTAGGTTGGTTGGTTGATTTGTTATTTAATGCTTCATTCAGCAATATCAGGGCATCAAGGACAGGGTGTAGGTTGGTTGGTTGATTTGTTATTTAATGCTTCATTCAGCAATATCAGGGCATCAAGGAAAGGGTGTAGGTTGGTTGGTTGATTTGTTATTTAATGCTTCATTCAGCAATATCAGGGCATCAAGGAAAGGGTGTAGGTTGGTTGGTTGATTCGTTGTTTGATGCCGCACTCAGCTATATGACAGTGGTCTGTAAATTATCATGTCTGGACCAGACAATCCAGTGATCAACAGCATGAGCATTGATCTACGCAAATGGGTGAGTGAGTGAGTGAGTGAGAGAGTTTAATTTTATGCCGCACTATACAATATTCCTAGCTATATGGCGGCGGTCTGTAAATAATCATGTCTGGACCAGACAATCCAGTGATCAACAGCATGAGCATTGATCTACGCAAATGGGTGAGTGAGTGAGTGAGTGAGAGAGTTTAATTTTATGCCGCACTATACAATATTCCTAGCTATATGGCGGCGGTCTGTAAATAATCATGTCTGGACCAGACAATCCAGTGATTAACAGCATGAGCATTGATCTACGCAATCAGCTAGGATGACATGTGTCAATCAAGCCAGCGAGCCCGACCACCCGATCCCGTTATTCGCCTCTAACAACAAACATGGGTTACTGAAGATCAATTCTAACCCAGCTCTTCATGGGTTTACGCATTTGATTCCAGACATCACATTTATCAACTTACGTATGGTTCTACAATGCACAATCCCATAGGTCGCCATGTTAAAGGAGTGCATGGCGCTGTACATATGTTGATTAAAATGTTGCCATTCGATAAATAAGCCACGGAAAATTAAACAGAAATTATGTGATTGTAGTTAAAATGATTCCTCACAAATGTGCAAAATTTGACTTGGATCTTACAAAAATTAAATTCCTTAAAAATTATTTATGCTACACTAAATTAACATGTAAGACTATGGAAATTACGTCAAGTGCCCAATACTTTTAGCACTACTCTGTAGCTGTAGTTTGATGATGGCACTGACCTGTTGCAGCAGGGAATGCATGAGAAGAGACAGCATGGCCTGTGGTCCTGAAGAAACACCGAAGAGTTGGGCGGATCTGTACACTCATCTATAAACCTCATCAAGTCGGTCTTAGGAAAGCCGTGCTCGTAACAATGCTGAAAGGGGAAAGAAACAAGTACAAACATACTAGACATTTTTGTATAAGTGTGTGACAGTGATTGTCAAGTCTTACTCATGCTCTTCGACTGGAAAGTTCCATAGTCTATTACCAACTGACTATCCTGAAACTAAATCCATTAATATTTGTTGGATGTACTCCATAAGTTCCCAAACATATCTGATAATGATACTGTACAACACAATGACACTGAACAAGTTTTGCTGGGTGTGATAACATTGGCTAATAACTGATTCCAATTCCTGATTGTTTTCTAAAGAGATGGGAAGTCATAGCTGAAGAACATACTCATGGCATTACCGTGTTTAAACTCAAAGGGAGCTAATTCACTGTGCCTTAAATATCAAACTCTAAAAACTATTTGAGTCTTGCCATAATACTTGTCTACATGAACCAAAAATCATAGATCAACACAGTCCGTGTGACACTCAACTTATTGCAATTATTTCCTAACATCAAGTACTGGTCTACAAACGATCCTCGTAACATTCTCACTTTGATGGTCTCATATGTGTCCATGATGACTGCGATGAAGAGACTGAGGACAATGTAGATGAAGAGGCTGATGAAGGAGTAGAGGTAGGTGCGACTGAAGTACCAGATGAGGTCGCTATCTGTCTCTGTTGCAGAGAACGTCACGAACATGTCGTCACCATTCACAAGGGAGAACAGACACTCCGATGCAGTGCTCAGATGACGGAACTAGACAGAAAAGGACCAAACACAATAACACATCAACACATATTGATGAGACTGGACAGAATTCAGTTTGATAAAGTAAATATATTTTAAGTTAATAGTGTCAGATTTCAGGACATCATATTAAAAAATGCCTTTTTATGAAAAGACTTATTTCCTCACTAAGGACTAAATATTGTTGACATCCCTGTGCCTTATAAACCTCTCCACTAAAACCATATCCTAAAACTATATACATTCTGCCCTGCTTAATACCCATATTCCACCCCATGAAAACCCATCCATATATACACTCTACCATGGGCAATACCCATGTCAACTCCACCAGAACCCCACAAATACATGCTCTGCCCTGCCCAGTATCCATCTCCACCTCAACCATGGCCACATATACTGCTCTACTCCAATACCCCTCACCCCTCCCACCAGTACATACATGCTCTGCCCTGCCCAGTATCCATCTCCACCTCAACCATGGCCATATATACTGCTCTATTCCAATACCCCTCTCCCCTCCCACCAGTACATACATGCTTAATATTACCATTTCCTACTGTCTGATAATCAGCCGCCCTTTCTTACATACATATACATGGGTGCTTGTAACAATGAATATGGTAACTACATGTATTAGGGCTACAACGATCCGGTTCGATTCATCAAAAATCGAACCTGACACCTTAGTTTTGATTTTTGATAACCATTATCACTATTTCGATTCAATATTTGAATACCTATTTAAATTATTTCCACTCAGTCAGAACGTAATTTTGACTCCAACTCAAGCAGTTTCAAGTGCTGAAATAAGGCGAAACATGATTGATTGACGCCAGACTAGTTATCCAATGAGAATTGCTGTTTGTAGACATTGCCAAGTTGACGATGGATTTCATGCTAAAAAAGCCAGCTCTGAGATTTAAATGAAATCTGACGTTTTTACTTGCATGAAGAATTGAATCGAAGGTCCAATATCTAAAATCAATTCGAATCGAGGTCTGGGTGAATCATTGCAGCCCTAGTAACTATATGGAATATATACAGCTGAAGTAAGCGTTGTGGCATACCTTCATGTGATATGGTCCCAGCACAAGCCATCCACAGAACGTGAAACCAAAATAGATGGACAGGGCACACACAAGGAATCGCAACACATTCGGGAAAGCCTTTTTAAGAGTAATTATCAGTATCTGGAACAAAGGTAAAAATAGTTCATACAACATTTTATAAAACACTCTCTTTCTATATTTCAGTCAACATTTCAATCTTATTAGTAGGGCTGTGCAATATTACCGGTAAACCAGTACAGTATCTTGGAATACGATTATCGCAATATGGTTCAGATTCTGCAATATATTGGGCCATCCAGAGTTAGCTCCCTTTGAATTATCTGCCCTTTCCATAGCAACAAAATGTGCTCTAAAAGTGCCAAATGTATTTCTCTTGATTTCATGTAACATTTTAGGACTGTATAATGGCATTCTAGTCAAGTAGTTCACCGAAATCATGTCTTTGGTTGTTGTTGCAATAGTTCATGTTAACTTTATATTGGAGTTGAACCTAAAGGAATCACTGACATACAGTAACAATAATTACATACTGCACTGAAGATATTTGAAGAGCATTCTGTTGAAGCAAACAACACTGACCATGAAAATCATGTTATACTATTACCTTTATCACTATGTTGCAAAACTTCCATTAAACATTACATATTAAGGCTCTATATCATTTCATCTATCTGTAAACTATTGGCATACCGCCATACACAATGGGGACAGGGACTCTGAAAGTATGGTCTAACAGCAACTAAGAAGATGATGTCGCACACAGAGAACTATTATGAATTTATGATGTACGCACTTGGGCAGAAACCTTTCAGTCAATATATCACAATATATATTGCAGTATCTCTTATATTATTGCAATTTATCGCAATATGAGAATCAGGGCAATATCCAGCCCTACTTATTAGGCCCTGCTTCTAATTATCCCTGGAACTTTTTCAAAAACAGACTAAGAATCATCTGTGCTCAGCAAGTGAGTGAGTGAGTGAGTTTAGTTTTACGCCGCACTCAGCAATATTCCAGCTATATGGCGGCGGTCTGTAAATAATCGAGTCTGGACCAGACAATCCAGTGATCAACAGCATGAGCATCGATCTGCGCAATTGGGAACCAGCTCAGCAAGTGAATTATACTGTCATTCTAGTATGTTAAATGTAACTTACTTGTAACAATAGCTGAGAGAGTATCTTCCTTGAGGTGCAGCTTAATGATAACAGTGAGCTAACAGTATTATGGCAATGGACACCAGAAATCAAACATTAGTTATCATTGTGCATGATTTTAAGAATGCTAACTCAGTTACATCATTGCTATAACTTCCTGTCCTGGCAATAATAACACTATAATATCTTTTAGATTTTCAACAGATGTCCTCTAAACGGCCAACATAACAGTTGCGAGGAAAGCCCTTTCCTAAGCAAGAAATGCAAGTGGGCATGTGCAGGGCATCTTTCAACACATACTTCTCATGAACTTCTTGTGGATACAATGGGATGCCGGGAGGGACTGACATCTGGTAACTTACAGAGTTAAGGTTTAATACATATATATACACTGGGAAATATGGAAGTATACGGACAGAAGATTTGCTTGTTTTTACCTCAGCTCCTGTGACACTAGCTTTCTTGAGTCAACATATCAAACCATGTAAGCTACAATAGAGTTAACAACAAACCGAATCATGTGACTGTGCTGACTCACATTGTAACCGAATCATGTGACTGTGCTGACTCACATTGTAACCGAATCATGTGACTGTGCTGACTCACATTGTAACCGAATCATGTGACTGTGCTGACTCACATTGTAACCGAATCATGTGACTGTGCTGACTCACATTGTAACCGAATCATGTGACTGTGCTGACTCACATTGTAACAGAATCACTCACATTGAAACCGAATGTGCTGACTCACATTGTAACCGAATCACGTGACTGTGCTGACTCACATTGTAACCGAATCATGTGACTGTGCTGACTCACATTGTATTTCTCAAAGAAGCCAAGGTAGCGCAGAACCCCCATCCAAGCCATGAGACAGCCGATGCCCAGCGTCACGCTGCCAATGTCGTAGTTCTCGGAGGAACTGGAAAACTTCTGTAAGGGGAGAATGTGCAACATGCTACACTGAATACTGAAGCCAACACAACTAACTGCAGTGACTATTAAATAATTCAGTCAGGACTGGACACCCAGTGATTGATAGAGTGAGCAATGTTTAAACAGTCAGTGTACTTGTGAGGAAATTGTCAGTGATGTGTTAGCAGGCCTTAATGCATCTTTAGCACAGGCGGATACCTATGTTCAATCACAGAAACCATAATGATTATCTGTGTTTTCTACAGCTGAAGACAATTTATTTTCTCACAAACTATTTCATGGACAAGAGGAGAGGAAACATAACAAATACAAAAGTAAATATCATTCTGCAGTATCACTGAGGTTCCACTACACTAAATCAGAATCACATGCTCCCTGAGCAAGCACCGTATGTAAACAACTGAAGAGACAGACACTTGTGACAGCTGTGATTGGATGAAATAGTGTAAGAAGTTTATGCTTTTTAAAAGTACATCCATCCAGTAATTAAAACTGACCACAATTTTTAGTATTTAGTGCTGTCATTTTTATCACCATGACTTATGCTTATTGTGTGTACAGATATTTTCCAGTAGGTGACATTTGGTGCGGAACTGGGGTTGATGTGTTCCACTTCCTGTGCTCGGACAATGAGCCGGACAATTTGGCCAGAAATGGTGTTTTATTGTAGTTTAAAGGCCTGACTGTACCCAAGTGTACATGGAATGGCTCTTGATAGCCTGGATAATTTAAAAACAATATAAGGTTACTATAGAAGTCTGGTAAGGGAGGTAACTCGACACAGACCTGATCTTCCAGCTGTATCTTGAAGGAGGAGCCTACCACGGTCAGGGAGTCGTTGACAACTATCAGGATGTACCACATATTTAAGAAATCTGTCTGTTCTGACAGGGAGAGCTTTTTCCCAAACCGGTTCATGAAAAATTTGACTGTTTGCTGGAATGACAACATTTAGATTTAGAAATAAGCAAGAAAGAGTGACACAATAAAATGGCACACAAGAAAATGTTAAATAAATGTCATGGAACCCTTGCATTATGACAGAGTGAAAACAGAAATGATGCAGAAAATGACAGTTTTCAACACAACTGCTATGGCAGCCATCTTGAAAAATGTAGGGACTGTAGGGCTGAAGACCCAGGTTCGATTCCCCTCATGGGGTACAATGTGTGAAGGCCATTTCTGGTGTCCTCAACCATGGTAATGCTGGATCATTGCAAAAGTGGCGAAAACTAAAACTCACTCACTCACTCTGGAAAAATTGGACTAATGGTTGTCAAGCTTGCTTCTGTAGAATCATGCATCAGATAATATGCAAATATATTGCTACATTACTCTAATGGTTTCAGGGAAGCAACATTTTGTTACAAAAGGCAAAAAATACAAAAGGACATGTTGATGTATTATGACAAGCACGCAGCTCACATTTAAAACAGGTTCCAAGTAGGGATCAGTAACATATTAGGGACCGTTCATAATTCATGGCTAGGGATGTGATGATGATTTTTTTATGGAATTTCATGTACAATGTGAATTAACACCCACCCACCACCACCCAAAAAAAAAACAAAAACAAAAACAAAACAGTAAAAAAAATTATGCACAAAGTGATCCCCCTACCCCCTGCATGTCATGTACAAAATTGCTGACCTCCCCACTAATACATGTGTACTAAATTGATGACCCTCCCCCATGCTTCCCCAGAACAAAATGGGTGACCCCCCCTTCAAATCGTCATCACTTATTTAGCCATAAATTATGAACGGCCCCTTACAATGTTTGTGTTTCCCTTTGCATGACTCACCCGTTTGAGCACCTGGGCTCTGTATATTGAGCGCAAACAGAGGAAGAGAGACAGAATACATAGGATGATGATGATCGCATCGTAGATGATCAGTCCTCTCCGGTAAGATGTCTCTGAAACATACAAAATGTTGTGTAACCTTGGTAACACTACTGAAACAGAGTAGTGAGTGATTTAAGTTTCACGCCACACGCAGCAATATTCCAGCTATTTGGCAGTGGTCTGTACATAATCAAGTCTGGACCAGACAATCCAGTGATCAACAGAGAAGAGTAGGATATATGAGTGACACCTTGTTGTTACAATACTTGCAACCCACAAACACATAGAAATGCATGTTATGCATGTTATGCTAAACACATCTGCCATTTACCTATGCTATTTTTGTGTCATCATTGTTTAGGCATAGTGGACTTGTACTTGGACCAAACACAACAGGTGACATCACCAGTGTCAAGTGAGTGAGTGAGTGAGTTTAGTATATAATGCTTGTAAATATTCTGGCAATATCATGGTGAGGGACACCAGAAATGGGCTTCACTGATTGTACCCATGTGGGGAATCGAACCCGGATCTTCGGCATGATGAGCCAATGCCGTAACCACTAGGCCACCGGGCCACCGCCCCTCAGGGTCAAGAATGGTGATATCAATTTGTCATCACTATGAAGAGTTAGTGGATAGTTAGATCTCAATGCCAATCATATATATATATGCCACTGTTACCATAGTTACTTTAAAGTTGAACTATATCTAACTTATTGAATGACGTAAAACCTTCTTAATCTCTTTCAAACAATGAAGTATTTGGTTACTAATTCAACAGTTCTCAGCTGACTAAGACATATAAATATGTTCACCTTCTGACAAGATCTGGCCGTGACATTGTAACTCAGTTACGACAGCATTGAGGGTCACTAGGACCTGGCCGTCCCGCTGGTTGTTGTCATACAGTATCTGCAAAGATAACATAAGCTAAGATTATTCCAAAGAAAAATCATATCATATTGAACCCATTGTACCCACGTGGGGAATCGAATATGGATCTTCAGCATGACGAGCGAATGCTCTAACCACTAGGCTACCCCATATCCCCCAATATATCTAAGAGTGAGTGAGTTGAGTTTTACGCTGCACTCAGCAATATTCCAGCTATATGGCGGCGGTCTGTAAATAATTGAGTCTGGACCAGACAATCCAGTGATCAACAGCATGAGCATCGACCTGCACAATTGGGAACCGATGACATGTGTCAACCAAATCAGCGAGCCTGACCACCCGATCCCGTTAGTCGCCTCTTACGACAAGCATGAGTTGTTGAAGATCAATTCTAACATGGACCTTCACGGGTCAATAAATATAAGAAAGTAAGACACATATTAATATAATCACGGATAAATACTTGCAGCTAAGACCCGATGAGTGACACTGCATTTAGAATTACATCCAATCAGCATTCACCAGGCTAACATGGATGTCATCATCGATAACGTTGTTTATGTTCCCATGTTTAGACCCATGGTCATACTGTCATGCTCAAAATATACTCGCAAAGTTGCATATATCAAAAGATGTGATTGACACATGTTGTTATCAGGATGACTTTGATTCATGAGACAGATTAAAAGGTGTGTAGGACTGTAAACCTCATGAAATCTCCTCCATGCCACTAGTGACAGAGTCATGTCATAAATTTAGCATAGCTATATCACAATTTACCAATATTTCCTGAACCTATACTGTTCTCTACAGCAACAATCAGTAATGTCAGGCCAAACAAAGTCAGCTGACACGGGGGAAGTGCATGTTGTTTTATGCCGCTAATATCAGCGAAAACAAGGTGGAATGTAACTTATTGGGCAAATCGAGTGAGTGAGTGAGTGAGGTTTTACACCGCTTTAAGCAATGTTCCAGCAATATCACAGCGGGGGACACCAGAAATGTGCTTCACACATTGTACCCATGTGGGGAATCGAACCCAGGCCTTCGGCGTGATCGAGCGAACACTTTAACCAAGGCTACCTCACCACCCCAAGGACTTTCTAGATAGTTAAGTATCTTCCTTGTGAGACTGAATAGAGACCGAGAGCTCTACCTTGACATCCGAGCTGAAGCAAGCAGGACCAGCGTGAGCAGCGAGCAGGTCCAGATGGTACGATAGCATTGTCATGTGGAGCTCAAGAGATATCAGTCTGTAACACAAAGATCATTCAGTCATTGAGGTGTCAAAGATAGACACAAATTTTACCTTGTGCTAAGATTAATAGAGATCATTATTAGTCAAAATTACATTGTATGTTATATTGTAAATATATGTAGCAACATGAAAAGGTACACCATGGATGAAGACAAATACATTGCGTACACTGCGCATATAGATCTTGTGGAACAAAATAGATATAGGCTATAACATCACATGGTACAGTGTGGATACAGGCCACAGCATCACATGGTATACTGATGTGGAAGACTGACTACGAGCACTGTTGTTACAGACATTACCATCAAATGGTACACAGTATATCGACATTCTACCATGACATTTAAGTACATGTACGTTCGTTTTTGATTGGCTGTTACTAAAAAATTAGAAGTGAAAAGTTTTCAATAACCACTTCTGAGAGACGGTTCACTGCGCGTAGGAATATTTTGCACTCATTAACCCTTACAAAGGTAAACAAACATGTCGTCTGAAACAGTTACGTTTGACCTTGGCGATTTCTTTTATGTGTTTGGATCTGATAAGGAGGAAAATATTGACCCAGCCTGGTTCCAACATGAAATGATTGAACAATCACCCAAAAGTAACTCTCAGTACAGAAGGTATGAGTATGTAAACGTCAAAATGTCCAGTTTCTAAGCGTTGTAGTCTAAACCTGTCAAAACACTGCGAAGGGAAATGAGTGCATATTTAGAACACGTTTTATTCATGGTGCATATTTAAAACACGTTTTATTCATGGTGCATATGTCATGGTAGAATGGAGATAATCCTATTGTGTTTACATTTTGGAAGTGATTATAGTTGGTTGAACGCTACTAAAAATGTTTCATTTAGCAGCGTTCAACCAACTATAATCACTTCCAAAATGTAAACACAATAGGATTATGTCTGGGAGACATACTACGAGCACTGTTGTTATAAACATTAGCATCAAATGGTACACAGTATATATCGACAATATCCAGGTCTGGGAGACAGACTACTGAACACTGTTGTTATAAACATTAGCATCAAAAGGTAAACAGTATATATCGACAATATCCAGGTCTGGGAGACAGACTACGAACACTGTTGTTATAAACATTAGCATCAAAAGGTACACAGTATATATCGACAATATCCGGGTCTGGGAGACAGACTACGAACACTGTTGTTATAGACCTTAGCATCAAAAGGTACACAGTATATATCGACAATATCCAGGTCTGGGAGACAGACTACGAACACTGTTGTTATAAACATTAGCATCAAAAGGTACACAGTATATATCGACAATATCCGGGTCTGGGAGACAGACTACGAACACTGTTGTTATAAACATTAGCATCAAAAGGTACACAGTATATATCGACAATATCCGGGTCTGGGAGACAGACTACGAACACTGTTGTTATAAACATTAGCATCAAAAGGTACACAGTATATATCGACAATATCCAGGTCTGGGAGACAGACTACTGAACACTGTTGTTATAGACATTAGCATCAAAAGGTAAACAGTATATATCGACAATATCCAGGTCTGGGAGACAGACTACGAAAATAGACCTTAGCATCAAAAGGTACACAGTATATATCGACAATATCCGGGTCTGGGAGACAGACTACGATACACTGTTGTTATAGACATTAGCATCAAAAGGTACACAGTATATATCGACAATATCCGGGTCTGGGAGACAGACTACGAACACTGTTGTTATAAACATTAGCATCAAAAGGTACACAGTATATATCGACAATATCCGGGTCTGGGAGACAGACTACGAACACTGTTGTTATAAACATTAGCATCAAAAGGTACACAGTATATATCGACAATATCCGGTCTGGGAGACAGACTACGAACACTGTTGTTATAAACATTAGCATCAAAAGGTACACAGTATATATCGACAATATCCAGGTCTGGGAGACAGACTACGAACACTGTTGTTATAGACATTAGCATCAAAAGGTACACAGTATATATCGACAATATCTGGGTCTGGGAGACAGACTACGAACACTGTTGTTATAGACCTTAGCATCAAAAGGTACACAGTATATATCGACAATATCCGGTCTGGGAGACAGACTACGAACACTGTTGTTATAGACATTAGCATCAAAAGGTACACAGTATATATCGACAATATCCGGGTCTGGGAGACAGACTATGAACACTGTTGTTATAAACATTAGCATCAAAAGGTACACAGTATATATCGACAATATCCGGTCTGGGAGACAGACTACGAACACTGTTGTTATAAACATTAGCATCAAAAGGTACACAGTATATATCGACAATATCCGGGTCTGGGAGACAGACTACGAGCACTGTTGTTATAAACATTAGCATCAAAAGGTACACAGTATATATCGACAATATCCGGGTCTGGGAGACAGACTACGAACACTGTTGCTATAAACATTAGCATCAAAAGGTACACAGTATATATATAATCATCACATTATACACTGATACAGTCAGCTCTCGTTAATCCGACACTCATTAATCCGACAATCACGTTAATCCGACAACAATTTAGGGAACCATTTAAAACAGTGATAATTACTCTCGTTAATCCGACATTCTCGCATTCCGACTCCGACACACCAATCTAGCAACTGATTATTGTAAATACATTGTAAAAACATTTGTTAATCCGACAATCAACACAGCCGGTCGGATAATCCGACCGTATACAAACAATCACACGTGAGTGGTAATTAGCGTATGCCTTACTGGCTGCTTGACACTGACGTCGGTGAACATCACACTTGTTAATTAGGAACACAGGATAATTAATTGAGACGATTTAATCAAGAAATAACAGTAGAGCGAGCTGTATAAAATGTTTACAACCGACATGAGTTTTCATCACAAGATGTCTGTCACGAGTACACCACCTGCTAAGCGAGCCCAAGTAGAAGTTACGCCATTGATCAAGAAAGAAATCTCCTTTTGAAGAAAGACAAACCCCAGACAACACAACAACAAGTCATCACTTTTGCTGAGCAGAAGTTTGATGTGAAGATTGGACGATCAACCGTATCTGACATCCTGAAGCAGTCTGCTTAGTGGTTGAGCGTCTCTGATTCCAATGCTTCAAACTATCTGCTTCAAACTATCTGAGGCCAAAACATCGTTGAACACTTTGCAAACATTTCTGACACACCACTTAGATGTGTTTAATGTTAATGACCATCAAAGACTTTTTCAAGTTTTAAATTATAAATGTTATGATAAATGCCCGATTGTTCACTAGGCGTCCACATGTTAGTATGGATTAAGTTGTATGGAAACTGTAACATTTTCAACATCGGGATCATAATAGCTGCTGATATGTGGTAAAAACAAACGTGAGTTTTGTGGCAATGTGGTTATGAGATAGATATGAAACTGATTGATTATGTGATTATATATGTATGTTATGCCATCTATGATGTTAATAAATGAGAACAAGGATGTATTGTTATTGTTTTTTTATTTCTGTGAATATTTTTACACACGATGAAGATAACTAGATATACCATTTCTGATATGCAAGAAACAGTATGACAATCATGACATTTAATAAACATTGATAATTTCACACAAATACATTAATCCGACATTTTCGTTAATCCGACATATTTCTCTGCAACCACAAGTGTCGGATTAACGAGAGTTGACTGTATACAGTTTGTGTCCCACATGTCATGAGAAGATTTACAGTACCTGTCAAACTTTAGTGAAGCATTTATCGCCCTCAGCATGTCTTCAATATCACAGGTGTAAGATGTTATGCCGTCTTTAATGTGCTTCGGACACACAAGATCCACACAAGCTGCAACAAAGTACATAGCAGTCAAAGATTGCTAAAATACACTTAGTACAAACACACTTCAATATGTTTTTAGAAGATTTAAAATCCTCATACAATTCTCATAGTGAGTGAGTTGAGTTTCACACCTTTTTTAGCAATATTCTAGCAATATCATGGCGGGGGACACCAGAAATGGGCTTCACACATTGTGTCCATGTGGGGAATTGAACCCGGGCCTTCAGCGTGACAAGCAAACGCCTGTAACCATCAGGCTACCCCACAATTCTCATAAACACTGGCACATGTTTCATCTATCACATTTACACACTCACAGTCTCTCAAGGTCGGATCAATGATGAAGGTGTTGTTATCGAAGATCTTCCCCTCCGTGTATGTGGTACGACATAACTGCATCGGTGCGATCGTACCATTACCATCTTTTTCTAAGTGAAATGAACCAATCGCTACGTCTGGAATTTTATAATACTGAAAAATAAAGAAGGTGTGTTGATATGTTGAAACTGTCATGCATACCTGCTAAGACAGTGTCAGACAACCATGAGAGTTTGCAGTAAGTATTAGGTCACCATAGATAGATGGATTGACAGGTGGTAAATATCCAAGAGTGGTTCTCATAAGATGAATTATTAGCAAGACAGCAAGAGACATTTTACACCATGCATTTGTTCAGCATGTGTAGGTACATTAACTGACAGATATCTTGGACGATGCAGAAACTATCTTTTGTGTTAAGGATTTACCTTTTCTTACAAAGGTGAAGGTCATGGGGAACCCCATCAGTACATTTTATGGGTCCTTGATGTTAACATGAGTGAGTGAGTGAGTGAGTTTAGGTTACTGAAGACCAATTCTAACCCGGCACCCATGAAGGTCCGGGTTAGAATGAGCCTTCAGTAACCCATGATTGTCGTAAGAGGCGACTAACGGGATCGGGTGGTCAGGCTCGCTGACTTGGTTGACATGTCATCGCATCTCAATTGCGTAGATCGATGTTCATGCTGTTGATCCCTGGATTGTCTGGTCCAGATCCAATTATTTACGGACCGCCACCATATAGCTCGAATATTGCTGAGTGTGGCGTAAAACTCAACTCACTCACTCACTCTAACCCCGATCTTCATGTGTCCAATGATAAAGCAAATGGTAAGGTTGGCTATTGATATAGATGATAGGGATTGATAATCGTTAACCAGATATTGATCAAATATTGACAACCATTTGAGATGTCACTTTGAGCAAAATGCCCCTAACATCTGGAAGAAATGAATATGGCCTTCATCACTGGTGAGTGGTGACATGTTTTTGCATGGATTAATAACACAACAGCGTTCCGAACATAATTTAGAAGCAGCCAATGAATAGACACCTAACTTTGTGGATTGTGTGTGTAAAATTAAAACTTTATTTTATCGCAAAAGTGTATGTATATTATCGATGACAGAATATTATAGGAAAAATAGTTTCAGCCAGCTCTAGCAAATGGAGCCTGAACTCCATTATTCACACCAGTCTGATGAAGGCAAAACATACATGGTTGACAAGGAACTGGAATGTTTCCATTATGCTTAAATAAACATGTAAATCGTTTGAACGGTGTCGTGCCGGGAAGGCTAAAATATATTTTTCAGATGTCCTGGGAAGGCTAAAATGTATATTTCGTATTTCCTGGGAAAGCTAATTTCCAAGGAAGTAGGGGAGTACCGCCAAAGCTAAAGATACGGTGCCAGGAAGCATAATCCATGTCGGGAGTAGACAGATTTCTTTTCATAACATTGTTATAGTATTACCGTTATCTGTACACTGGTTAATAATATTTTATAAATTGCACATTTCGATGAGTTGGACAGCTCACTAAAGATAAACTGAATAGCCTGATCAGTTTTTCTTTGTTTCAAAATCTAGTGGTAATTCCTGCCTTAACCATATTTTATTTAATCCAGTGTTTGACAAAATATTTTTAACCTGATACGTCCAATTTTTGACACCACAGGTCCTCATACAAATACTCATAACAACCCCGTAAAAAGCTATTTTCAGACACAAGAAGCTTACACCAATATTTAATCATGCTGTATTGCCTTTTAAATACGAGCGGATAACGACCTACCTCGGCATAAACCATGGAATTACATGTTGATTTCTTAACTCCTAATAACCTTTTACAAAAATCCAAATGCAACCTTTCAATATTTACGCCTTTATTATATCCCCATATCTCAGACGCATAAGATAGTATACTACCAACATAACAATCAAAGACAAATAAAAGAGATTCCAGGTTGAGAGAGAGCAACCTGATATTATTGTAAATTAAAAAAGGGCCTTCCTACCCTGGTCAGACAACTGCAGCTGTGCCTTTGAGAATCGGTTATTATAATGAAAAACTTTACCAACTCTTCTGAAGACCATTATCTTTGTTTTAGCAATATTTACTTCAAGTTCCCACTGTCTGGAATAAGCTGACAACGAATTCATCTGTGTTTGCAATCTTTCAACAGATTCAGAAAATACTACATCAGCATACATAAGCAGAAACATATTTAAAGATTTAAACTCATAAGGTATACATTTATCTTTTAGGAAAGACTCCTCAAAATGAACTACCTAATGTCGAATTACAGAAAGTGTGTAATGAAGAGTTGACGTGAAAATGTGTAAATAACTTTATTTATATTTTTAGATGTGACCAAATTAGAGAGCGTCCCCGTTAATCCTGTTTTCTTTGTAATTTGTCAGAGCCTCCGAGTGAGGCATGCCGTGTTCATTCAGCCATAACATTGCATTGCAAGTACCGTGAAGCCTACGCTCATTGAACCGAGAAGCGTCATGATTTTAGCCTTCTCGGGCATGAACCGTTTGAACAGAGAGATAAATGGAATGTATCAGTAACAGGCTGCATCCATGAATCATCAATATAAATGTAAATGTTGCCATCATAGTCATGGATGAAAGCACTATTTCCCTGTCATTACCCAATCAGAAAGATTTCTTTCGAACATGTGACAGACAAATATAACAAGAAGACAAAGTCATCAATATCCCCCGCATTGGCAAAATACTCTTCATGAATATGTCTACGAGTTATGATTATGTAAAATGTTTTGGCATGTATATAGCTAAGAGGAAGGGGAGTACTGAAAGGTTTCAAAGTTCTGCTCCAGAAAGGAGCACTACCACCAAATTCATTTGAAGCCAAAATTGTTGCCATGGAAACGCAAAAAACCCAATTATATTCAGAAATTCAAAACTAGCAAAAGGCACCAGTTCACCACTAGACCTAACAATGCATGAAATTTCGTGATGAAACAGCAAACAGTTTTTAAGTTCTGCTCTGGAAAAGAGCACTACCACCAATTTCAGTCTAAGTCAAACTTGTTGCCATTGAAACGCCAAAAACACTTGATTCAGAAATCCAAAACTACCAAAAGGCACCAGTACACCACCAGATCTATCTATGTGCCAAGTTTGGTGAAGAAATAGTGAATGGTTCTAAAGTTCTGCTCCGGAAAAGAGCACTACCACCAATTTCAGTCTAAGTCAAACTTGTTGCCATGGAAACGCAAAAAATATTTTACTCAGAAATCCAAAACTACCAAAAGGCACCAGTAGACCACCAGATCTATCTATGTGCCAAGTTTGGTGAAGAAATATTGCACGGTTTTAGAGTTTAGAGTCCATTTTAATAACCCCCTCAAAACGCGTTGCGGGGGATAATTACTGTAAGGCAAAGAACGCTTTATGTTTCATTTCTTGTTGGTACAGCAGTCACAATGGGAGTAAATTATTACTGAGAGTAAAATATACCACTCACGATCATTTGATAGGGATATCATGAGTGGCAAGAGACTGATTATGACTGATTGAGTGAAGATGTTGCCATGCAAATAACATTTGATCTTGCCATGGAACCAACATAATTATTGCTTACATCAAATTATTTAAACAAGAAGTCAAAGTCATCATTAGCAAATATTGTCATGAGTAAAACATATGAATCTTGTTGCCATGGGAACTTGAAAAATATATATTAAAAATCAAACTATCAAAAGGCACCAGTTTATCTATACATCTACCCATGTGCAAAGTTTTGAGAACAAATTTTGTATGCTTTTCAAAGTCTGATCTAGAAATGAGCACTAGCAAGACTTTGTCATTGTTGTTGCTATGGGAACAGTGGCAAGCACTAAAAAATACAATTTTTAAAATCCCAAACAATCACCAGTAAATGACATTTTACGTGGACGGATAAGGAATCCATTTCATGCAACAAAGTTGTGTTTTGTAACACACAACAAAGATATTTAACCCTGTGAGAGATTCAGAGGTATAGAAAGATTTCCCTTTACCTGATCCATGGCATGGTTGATGTGCTCCAGTAGATTCTGGCGCATGTATAATGCATACTGGCCAGTTGCCGGGGGATATGGCAACGTCTCATAGCTAGGGTTCCAGTCTTTCATCAAAATGTGTTTCAAGGCAATTTGATTCCGCTCAAAATACTGCACAATACTTGATCTTTGCTGGCCGAAGATGACAAGCTGGAAGGGAGACATTGCAAGTCAACATCACAGGAGACTGAGCAGTCTGTGGAAGGAGTTGTGGAACTACTGGGTAGACTGGAACACTAAAGAGGGACAGTGCAGGGGTGCACACCTGATCATGTTTCCAGATACCTTATATCAGCCCTCAAGTGGTTTAGTTTATCAGGCAGAGCTACCCACCTCTAAAAAACACACAACACACATTTTCATGGACACACCCAAGTTAGAACAGAGTCTGAAGAATTTTTACTTACAAGAAGACAAGATGGCTGGCAACTCATAAACTGTAACTAGAATGCCCTGAACGTACCAGGCCTTCACTTTTTACTGTATCATGTGCATGGTAGAAAAAGCAATATAATGATAATGGCAATGCAGCTCTATTTATTTGCATTTGCAACTTCCTTATTATGGTTGTTTATAGTTTTGTGTATTTGTAATACAGTCGAGCACTGTTGTCTCGATATTCATGGGACCAAGAAAAAATATCGAGTTATCCGAACTTAGAGACATCCAACCAGGGCATATCATCACATATGACTATGAAAGAAAACAAAACGCTTCTCAGTATGTTTTGATTCGAAACTATTATCCATTATCAGTAGTGTTTAGTCGTAACAGTGAGTACTTCCTAAGTAATTCCTTCCTAATTAAGTGACACCTTCAACTCAATTAGCCTTAATTAGTTTACACTACCGCATCCCTTTGATTTGAATCATGCACACCGTGTGTAGACGTATGTAAACAACCTCAGTTCAGGGGATACTTGCCCATGAAAGGTACGTGAATATTCAGTTTCTTTGCAAATATTGAGTTAAAAGGGTAATTTTGCTTGTTGGGACCATAAAATTATATCAAGATATCCGAAATATCGAGACATTCGTATCAAATTAAAAGAGCTTGAATAATGATAAATTATGAAGGATTTTGCCGGGACTGAGATGTTATATCGAGACAACCGAGATATCGAGTTATCAGAGTTTGACACAATGGTGCTTGACTGTACATGTATGTTGTCATGTGTTTGTATGAATGCTTTGCATACTAATACCAAAGACATACCTAGATTTGTATAGACATGTATTCATGTCTTTACTACTCAATACTAGTACCAAGAATTTAGAAGCACAGATGCTGATTGCCTAGTAGAAAGATCACCTGACATGTCTTCCTATGGTAGTGTTCTCAGATCTTCACATGGGGAGACATATCAAAGTAAAAGATCTCATCTTAATGAGATTGGAATTAAGCTGGAGGAGGATGGAAGGGAAGGTACTTATCATACTAACGCAACATTACTCAAGTTTCAATCCAATAATAGAGCTGGTAGATACTGCAGTAATGGTACATTCTTTGAGTGGCATTTCTAGAAGTTGGAGAGTCAGATAAGGACCAACTTTATGGATGAACAACTTCTTTATTCAGGTGATGCAACAATTCTTGTAATCCCTTGTCATCACATCAACATTTTTCTCAATTATCTTCTAGTTCTTTTTGTTAACTATACACTGTATATACATAGCCCTGTTTTCTAACTGTTTCATACCTGCTTGACAATGATACAAGAATCTGTATGGAAACATTGCATCACCTCAATAAATAAGTTGTTCATCCATAAAGTTTGTCCTTATAAGTAATGACACAGTTTATTGTATTGTGATGAATATCTCAATGACAAACATGGTAGAATGGTCATGATGAGACCCATTACAGGGTCATTCAGTTTTATAAACAACCTGCACCAGGTGCAACCAGGTGAATTACTCTGTGAGTGTGTGAGTGAGTTTAAGTTTGTGCCGCACTCAGCAATATTCCAGCTATGTGGCGGCAGTCTGTAAATAATCGAGTCTGGACCAATCCAGTGGTCAACAGCATGAGCATTGATCTGCGCAATAAAGAACCGATGACATGTGTCAGCCAAGTCAGCGAGCCTGACCACCCGATCCCGTTAGTTGCCTCTTACGACAAGCATGGGTTGAATTACTCAGACTACACCATACGAATATTGTTTGAACCATGACATAAACAATTTTATCTGTAATGGACAACAGATGTTTCATTATCAGTAAATTACAACAGGATTCACAGCCAGTACTGTTCACAATGCTGCATGTCTGGAGGCATGTTTTGGCAGACAGCTGCTTTATAACTGACATTTTCATGTATAAATTTAATTTCTTTTTTGTTTGAACATAGTCAGAAAATCAACTTGTCTATTACAAGTAATGTATATCACACCAACGTCTGACCTTCCATGAAACATCACAAGATTGTGTATAGACTGTGTGGTCTCAGTAACAGAGTCATTAGCATGAAAACAAACTTGTTTACATTTTCCAGGAACATGTCTGCATAAGTATTTTGGAATATTCATTTATATTTTAGTAGATTTAACACATAAAACAATCTCGGAATCGACAACACATTTTCTGATGACATAATCGCCAGTTGATTGCGGGACAATTCCTGCCGATCTCTTGAGAGAACTATAACTGTTAATAAATAATAAATAATCATGTCTCGAATAGGTATAGAAACATGAAATCTGTCTTGGGAACATGCGCAAAAAACAAAGGCATCAAAGCTCTCGATCGTTTATGGCCGAGGCTGACTATTACATGCGTAATAAAACTAAATTCACTCACTCACTTATATATGATAATCATGGGTTACTTGGAACCTATATTGTTACCATGGTTACCCAGAAAAACCACAGCTTGTATGAAAGAATGGATGATTTACACACCTGAACTGTAACCAGAATGATTTTGAGTATTTGCAGGGATAGTTTCCAGGGCCATTGACGCTTAGCTCGGAACTTGCTGCACGGATCCATGAAGAACACCTTTAGCTTCCTCCTGAGTTGATCCTCCATGCCAGGTGTGTACAGTGATGGAATCCGCTGGAGAGGTGGTTCGGCCTTGTCACCGTCACTGTTGTCTTCATTGTCATGCTGGTGGTTGATGCTGCCATGCACTGATGCACTCTCTATGTTAGCCATGCTCTCCAGCTCTGTCAAAACACAAAACACTGAGTGAGTGAATAAGTGAGTGAGTGAGTGGGTAAGTGAGTGAGTGGGTCAGTGACTCAGTGAGTGATTGATTGAGTTTAGTTTCATGCCGCACTCAGCAATATTCGAGCTATATGGCAGGGGTCTGTAAATAATCGAGTCTGGACCAGACAATCCAGTGATCAAAAGCATGAACATCGATCTGCGCAATAGGGAACCGATGACATGTGTCAACCAAGTCAGCGAGCCTTACCACCCAATCCCGTTAGTCGCCTCTTACGACAAGCATGAGTTACTGAAGGCTCATTCTAACCCGGACCTTCACGGGTCTGAGTGACTCAGTGAGTGAGTGAGTGACTAAGAGGGTGAGTGACTAAGAGGATGAGTGAGTGACTCAGTGAGTGAGTGAGTGGGTGGGTCTTAAGTGAGTGAGTGAGTGAGAGTCAGTGAGTAAGTGCATGTGTGAGCCAGTACATAAGATATAATTAGAATCTGTTTGAAGGATGGCAATTAAATACACACTAATCAAAGAAGAACACCCAATTCTTTCCTGACAGAATAATTATATAGTAATATGAAAGTACTGTGTGTACTGAGAAGTATATACAAGAATAAAATGTCAAATTATCAGGATTCAAGCAACTCATTATTTTTAATCAGGAAAAAGAACTAGTTCCTCTCACTGTTATCAAGTTCAGGAAGTAGGACACTTAACAACCTTTATCCACTGCCTGAGGTCATATGTAGGATGTATCTGACAGCTATGTCAGCCTCTTTCACTTGTCATTGTGTTTGTAGGTCTGACATGTGCCTATTTATTCATGTCTACACTAGCAATAGAGCAGAAGATTAGCAAATGTGCTTATTTCTCATGTCCTCTCAAGTAAAGGCCTCTCAAGTAAAGGATGGCACTGTGTAATCCTCTAAAGTAAAGGCTGGCACTGTGTAATCCTCTCCTCTAAAGTAAAGGCTGGCAATCCTGTGTAAGGCTGGCACTCCCCTCTAAAGTAAAGGCTGGCACTGTGTAATCCTCTAAAGTAAAGGCTGGCACTGTGTAATCCTCTAAAGTAAAGGCTGGCACTGTGTAATCCTCTAAAGTAAAGGCTGGCACTGTGTAATCCTCTAAAGTAAAGGCTGGCACTGTGTAATCCTCTAAAGTAAAGGCTGGCACTGTGTATCTAAAGCAAAGGCTGGCACTGTGTAATCCTCTAAAGTAAGGCTGGCACTGTGTAATCCTCTAAAGTAAAGGCTGGCACTGTGTAATCCTCTAAAGTAAAGGCTAAAGTAAAGGCTGGCACACTGTGTAATCCTCTAAAGTAAAGGCTGGCACTGTGTAATCCTCTAAAGTAAAGGATGGCACTGTGTAATCCTCTAAAGTAAAGGCTGGCACTGTGTAATCCTCTAAAGTAAAGGCTGGCACTGTGTAATCCTCTAAAGTAAAGGCTGGCACTGTGTAATCCTCTAAAGTAAAGGCTGGCACTGTGTAATCCCTCTAAAGTAAAGGATGGCACTGTGTAATCCTCTAAAAGACTGAGTAATCCTCTAAAGTAAAGGCACTGTGTAATCCTCTAAAGTAAAGGCTGGCACTGTGTAATCCTCTAAAGTAAAGGCTGGCACTGGTAATCAAAGTAAAAGATGGCACTGTGTAATCCTCTAAAAGTAAAGGCTGGCACTGTGTAATCCTCTAAAAGTAAAGGATGGCACTGTGTAATCCTCTAAAAGTAAAGGATGGCACTGTGTAATCCTCTAAAGTAAAGGCTGGCACTGTGTAATCCTCTAAAGTAAAGGATGGCACTGTGTAATCCTCTAAAGTAAAGGATGGCACTGTGTAATCCTCTAAAGAAAAGGATGGCACTGTGTAATCCTCTAAAGTAAAGGATGGCACTGTGTAATCCTCTAAAGTAAAGGATGGCACTGTGTAATCCTCTAAAGTTGACAGCATGAAAATTAAACAACACTTCCTACAGACAACAATAACGAAAAGGTGGCTAGAGTTTGATATTCCTTCATTTCACGTATGATTCGAACCCACACCCTCAGAGTCAAGCACCTGATTGCCAGCACACAAAGTCAGCCACCTAACCTGCTCAGCCACCGCAACCTCCATAATAACAAAAAATATAAAAACGTGGCTAGGGTGTGATATTCCTTCATTTCACCTAATTTCATGTCAACAGTCTACTTATCAAAGGTAAACTTGATCAACTGTGCCCCTTACAGGCTAACTGAGATCAAACATTATCATGATAATGTTGACACACTTTGGCAAGACATTAGCCTCTTACAATTTATTTTAAACATTGCAGGCAATGCAACAAAACTTAATATCAGAACCCAAATATTTTTTTATTGCTTTCATTTACTGAAATACATGAAAAAACACTGAAAATATTTGGGTGCTGATATTAAGTTTGAGATAATAGAAGTGGTTTGATTATGATTGAAATACAGTCCAACAAAAATAAAAAGAATTTTGAAATACAATTCACTCTGAGTCAAATTTGAATAGCATGATACTAAAATCAACTCCTACCTAATTACATTCATGAGGTAAGTTTATCATGTGAGTAAGAGACCTCAATCACTTATCCATGAAATAGATATATACAAACAAAAACACTGAGTAATCAAGGATGCTGTGAATATTTATCATTCTTATACCTGGTATGGCTCAAGAAAGCAGGTAGGTCAAAATCAAACATATGGGGAAGGACAGCTCCTGTTACCTGTCCTTACGGTATCAGGTGATGTAACGATGTCCCCAGGTTCTTATGTCCTAAGTAGCAGTGTGCATTGACTGTCACAAGGCATGTAGAATGAGGTCAGGTTAAATCCCCATGGGCATGACTACAAAGTGGGCGATGACAGTCCACATGTCAGCAAGATGCACTGAGGGTGACCCTGTTTTCACCCAGCTGTGGGATCATGTGACTGTCATGTGACTGTCATATAAGAACTCTGTCTGACCTAGTCAGTGGACTCTGACAGATTGTAAAGCGACACTTTATCTCAGTAGTAGCAATCTGAGTGTGATAGGCTGCTGGGTATTATTGTCACTACTCATCAGCGTGATAGTGTTGTTTACTACCTCCAGATATTGGGAACATTTGACATGTGCTATGAAAAAGAACTACATAGTAAGCATTTAACATGAGCACTGAGGTCTTAAAAGAACACACACAAAGAGACAGAAAGTGCAATATTTCACAAAAATAGCAAGAGTAAATTATAACTAATTGAATCTTTACTATACATTACAAGGATTTTTTGCAGCAGCAGATCTACATTCCTGTTGCAGCGGATCTACATTCCTGTTGCTGGCACCTACATTCCTGTTGCTGCGGATCTACATTCCTACCAAGGATCCCCTAGTCACTGCCATTAACGTGAACAAAAAGCAATGCTATCATGATAAGAAAAAACACGTGTCAAAATCTTGCTTCCTCACTCTTGCAATTTCATCAAAGTAGATACAGACCCAAAAATGCATTTGGGGAAAATTAAGGATGTACAGAGCATGATCTAAACAGACAGAATAGGTGCAGAGTCCCATTACTAACTGACAATAACTAGATTTGCAATGAAGATAAACAAATACATATGAATGTCGCAGTAAATGCAATTAATAGCTTTTTGATTTAAACAACATTTCCATTAAATTTCACATTTTACATAACATAACAAAGTGGAAAGAGGATAAGCGAACAGGCCAAAAGGACCTATATCAGTGCTTCTCCACATATAGTACATCACAGCTTATAATCCATTCTATGAAGCATATATTAATGAATGACTCAAAATCAAAGTAAAAATAAAAAGCAAGATAACAAATGCATTTTATGTTTTTATGTTGTTACTTAAATTCCGCAAAGCTGTTTGCTTCAATTATGTAATTTTGAACTAATTTTATAATGTTTTCATTGTCCAAAGGAGATGAATCTTCATTGCCGCGGAGTATAGTATATGCTGAGGTGGCAAACAACAAAGTATAGCCTTTTCAATATTAATTCCCATTTTTCAAAATAGTCATGTGAGCTAAAACTATAGTTTACTTTATCAACACTGTAACAAAGACAGTAGGTGAAAATGGAAATATTGAAAGTTATATTTGACCTATGTAAAATCTCCATGCCTGAAATAATACTTTTCCTACTCTGATCATGCTGATATGGGAAAAACTTGACAGCTTCATTTGACCTACTATAAATCTCTATGACGGAAATGATACTTTTGCTACACTGATGCTGATATGGGAAATATTTGGCAGCTTCATTTATTTCTACTATAATCTCACTATGACTGAAAATAATACTTTTCCTGCTCTGATCATGCTGATATGGGAAATGTTTGACACCTTCATTTGACCTGCACTATAAATCTCTATGGAAGCTGAATAATACTTTTCCTACTCTGATCAGCACATGCTGATGGGGAAAGCAGCCTTGACAGCTTCATTTGACCTACTATAAAATCTCTATGAAGGAAATAATACTTTTCCTGCTCTGATCATGCTGATATGGAAATATTTGACAGCTTCATTTGACCTACTATAAATCTCTATACCGGAAGCTATGAAATAATACTTTTACTACTCTGATCGTGCTGATGGGAAAACCTTGACAGCTTCATTTGACCTACTATATAATATGTCTATGAAGGAAATAATACTTTTCCTGCTCTGATCATGCTGATATGGGAAATATTTGACAGCCATTTGACCTACTATAAATCTCTATGACTGAAATAATGCTTTTTACTTTTCTCACAGTCGTGATGTAAGGAAAAAACTTGACAGCTTCATTTTGACCTACTACTATAAATCTCTATGACTGAAATAATACTGCTTCCTACATACTGATCATTGCTTTGATATGGGAAAACTAGACAGCAGCTACATTTGACCTACTTCTAAATCTCTATGAAGGAAATAATGCTTTTCCTGCTCTGATCATGCTGATATGGGAAATGTTTGACAGCTTCATTTACGGCCTACTTCCATATA